TTTTTTTTTATTGCCTTTGTTTACTAAAAATAGTTTTGTACATTAAGGATTTTTACAATTAAAATTCAAAATTGGAATTCTTGAAGCAAAAAGATTGTACATTTCTTAAAAAGTAGACACACATTGCTAAATTTGCCTTCCAGAAAATTGATGCCGGTGGGTACTCCCACCAGCCATATCTTTGAGTATCAATTTCTATCATATCAGCATTAGGATTGGGCAAGTTGATCTTTGCTCATTTGACTGGTGAGAAACACTAACTGGCTTTTGGTTACATTTTTGAGAGTTGCATAGTATTCTACCTGGAAGCTATGCTGTTGTTTCACTGATTGGCTCTCATAGGGTTGTGACTTAGGTTATTTCTAAGGTTGGGGTTTGGAGTTTTTGTCATTTACACTGTGGTTTGAATCCCTGTGCTTAAGGCTAAACTCAGTTCTGTGCTGTCTTTTTCTCTTTGTTTTTTTTAACATTTATTTATTGTGTGTGTGTGTGTGTGTGTGTGTGTGTGTGGCCAGCTTAGCCCACCAGGGGGCGCAGCTGGCTAGCATGTGGTGATGGGGGATCGAACCGTGGTCCCTGTACTTTGCCAAGCTTGTTCCAAGTAGGTGCTTTAGACCACTGAGCCATCTCTCCAGCCCCTGTCTTTTTCTCTTTGGAGGGCGCTATGATGCTCGAGCCAGAGTCCTTGTTTGCCACATGACCTCCTTGCTCCAAGTGCCCTTGGAGGAGCTAGATGTCCTTGAAGAGACATTCCTTGAAAGCCTGAAGGAAACCAAAGAAGAGGAATCTGAGTAAGTGCCCTGCAGCCCTGGGCAAGAATTCCAGTTCCATCCCTGGCTCACCGTGTGACCTTAGCTAGTGACTGGCCTCTCAGGGCCTCCGACTCACAAGAAGGGGGTGTGGGCTGTGGATGATTGCTAAGGGGTGTGAATCTGTGATGTTAACGTCCATCCGTCCATCCGGTACCCTGACACCCTGCTCTGCCCCAGGCTCTTATGACATCGTGTCTGTGGGCTCAAGTGACCAAAGTTCTGACACTTGTCTGTGGTTTGATTTCAGGCAGGTGACCTTTCTCAGAGCTGCAATCTTCCTATCTGCAAAATGGGTATAAGGGGGCACCTTGCCAGGGTCATTAGAAAAAAGGAAAAGGATTGTGTTTGGTTTGAGGTTTGGTTTAAGTTTGTTTGTTTTAAGCA